ATATTAAAATGTTAATGCTGAAAGTTTTGGGATGAACTAGCCTACCTGTTTCAGCTGCATACATATCTCTGCAACGGTCATCTTCATACGTCTGATAAGTTCTGCTGGAGTCTGACATGATTTGTGTCAAACAGGTGTGATAGATTGTACAAAGAAATAGGGTGTCAGAATGGTTCATATTTATATTTCTCATCCAACCACAATTAAAAGGTGACATACTACATGCAAAATTCACTTTTTTAGACATTAAATACATGTTTTTGTGTACTTGGAGTCTCTAGGAGTGCAGAAAAGTTGAGCTCAGTTTTTCCCGTTGCTGCGTAGGTATCTTTATTTTCTCTCTGGGTCATATTTTTACGTCAAATTATTTGGGGCTGAACTTCTAAATAAGGTCTGGACTTCCCAACTACAATTTGGTGGTCTTCATTCTCCTCTGGCTCTGGCTGGATGGACAAGTCTTCTCTTGTTGACATCTTTGAATTTATTTGTAAATAAAATGTTTCTGTGTCGCTATATAATCGTAAACCCCTCTATCAAATTAGAATGGTCCAGTCTGGAAGCTAGGGGGGGTGAAATGTCTCATTTGGACTTAAAGAGAGAAAAGGAGTTGATTTGAGACACACCTCAGAAAAGGGGTAAAAGAGGGGATTGTGGAGATACAATAAGGAGGAATTCAAACCAAAGCACTGCAGTTCCACTTCACATAGACCCCAACTGAAGGGTTTAAATGTGAAAAACAAGGATTTAAAAGCATGTCCACTTTAAATTGGTGCCATGTATCTGGATTATTATTTTCTTTTCTGAACATTGACATGAATAGAGTGAAGGGCTGTATTAAAATAGAAATGAAATGCTTTTTGCATTTTTTATAATGTGAGAAGTAGATTGTTCAGAGGATTGTGTGAAAATATAAAGAGTAGAAGTCAAAAGTTGGCTGAAAAAAATGACTCCAGTAAAGTATAAATGACCAAAATTTCCACTTAAGCAAAGCAGCAAAGTATTGGGAGGTTATTACTCGACACCTCTGATATCCAAATGTAAAATCAACGAAGGGACGTAACTGTAGAAATCAGTAGGAAATGAAAACACTTTGTTTCTCTGTGATTTTCAGCCACAGGAGCGCAGCAGTGAGGGCCAGCACTGGACAACAGCTTCACCTGCTGCTCCATGAGATGGGCGCAGACGTGGTGCTCAGAGCAGGGCCCAGCTTCACCCCTGGCTTCCTCAAGGCTGTCAGTAAAATATCTCTGGATACTGCAGCTGAAGTCAGGTCAGTTCCAAAGRAAACTCACWTCRTTCACGTCCCCGTTTCTGCAGGGAAACATTRATGCAGATAAATGTGTGTGCGTCCCTACAGACTCCATGGACATGCTGTCCTTCAAGAACTCTGCCTTCACAAAGACTTCATGAAACAGTGGCTGAAGAACGTGGAAGAAAAAGATCATCTTGCTCTGCAGAAAGTCCTGCTGAAGGCCAGCAGGACGTAGTGGAGGAGCAGACAAAGAACCAAACGCTGACAGACAGACATGTTAAGGCATTGAGAGATGTCTGATTTCTCTCATTTAGTAACGAAATAAAATATACAAACAAAATATGAAATTTTCATGTTTATCAGTAAGCATTAAGTCGCTTACAAGCTTTCCTTAGATTTAATAAGTAAATATTTGGTGGATTGACAGAAATTGTTTAACTCACTGATCATATTAATTAAATATGGTTTTGACWTATTTAAAACGCTAACATTCAGCGTGTTAAACCTACAAAACTCTTCTAAAAATTATGTACTATCCACTTGGTTCAAACTATGATTTTATGGTCTTGTTTTTTTTTTTAATCTGACCGACTGTTCTTTTGTTCACAAACTTTTCTTATTTTCCTAAACCCATTGTGAGTTTACAGTATCACGAAAGAGATTTGAGATAAAGCTTAAAATAAATTTAAACATCAATTCCTTTATTTTCTTGCTGCAATACAACTTAACACACCAAATTAAATATTGTTTTCTCTCAAGCCGATTAACGTAAAGGTGTTACAGCCTTAATGCATATAACATTTACCCATACTGTATATATAACCACAAAGGGAAAATATGCAAATATGGATTCATTTTGACATAAAGACATTTGGAGATCTCTTATTTATTCTGTGTCTCACTAGAGGAAAATAAATCATGAAAGGATCCATACTGACACAAGACATTTAACAGGATGTGTGGTAACGAGATGTTCTTATGTTCCTTGACAATTACTTGAATGAAATAGATTATGACATTTGGATTTTTATTTCACCCCAACAGCTGCTTTTCAGGAACATCATTTTTAATACAAATTGATCAAAACACTAAGGTAAGTTTTAATTAGATAAGCCCTTTTTTATTGGCAGGAATTTCTATATGAATGTGTATTTTTGTAAAAATGGAAAAGATGTTTAGGGGAAGTTTTCATTCACTCAGATGTTAAAATATAAAAATCTGAATGATGATTTTGGTGGAATGTGGCTTCCATCTGCTGGTAAGAAGCTATAAGTACAAAATGCAAAGATTCATCCATCAGATTTATTTATGCCTTGTTTTCTAATTTCACAAAATGTTGCAAAAAACCAAATCAATCACGAATAGAAACTGAAAGTTCTTTCAAAACAATTAAAACTGATGAAATGCAAATTTAAAACACTAGCAGAAAAACAATCATGTGCTTTAGTTTATTAAACATGAATATATTTTAAATGAAAGTGACTGATATCATCACATTGAAACCTAAAATCTGCTCCTCATTATGACGTCAGACATGCATCAAAAAGCTTGTCTGTATAATTATAGTTGTGGATGTTTTGTTGCAATTTGGTTTTCATTGAGTTCAGTAAGAAACCAGTTCAAAAGACTGAGATATCTTTGATTCCTGAGTTTTTTAACACTCACCTACAAGAGCAGTGCTTTCATGGGATGCAATGCAACATGTACAATGTTTACTTATTGACTGTCATAAATCAGTCATTTTCAATAAAATTTTATCTTTGTTACAATGCATAAATAAATCTTCAATGTCAAAATGAAATCWAATTTCTACAAAGTAATATAAAATAAAATAAAACATATAATGTAAAATATGTGATTTCATAATTTTTCACCCCCTCTGATTTAACTCAGAGAAAAGATTATTGAACTCGGGATGGAAACAAAACAACTTCCAAGACCCTAAACACAAGAAGTTCTATTAAATTCATCATCAGAAAATGAAAATAATACTGGACATGAGCAAATCTACCAGGAGCAAGTCATCCTCACAAACTGAGTGACAGGACAATAGTAAAAGAGAYAACCCATCTGAGGCCACTCTGAAGGAGATAAAAGCTTCAGCAGGTCAGATGAAGAAACTGAGCTACAACACCTGCAGACCTGCTTCTTCAGTATGAGCTTTATGGGAGAGAGAAGAAGAGAAATGAACAAAAAAAGGATTAAATCTTGACGATAGTCTATGAACAATTTAGACCATGTGCCAAACTCAAGGTCCACAGGCCAAATGTGGCCCACCACAGCATTTTATGTGGCTCACAAGAGCTTCAAAGATGTATTAATGTTTTTAAATAAGCTGCTTTAAAGTCAGCATTGACAGTAAACTACATCTCCCATAATGCATGTYGATTATTTTACCTGCAAAATGACAGCRTCCCACCACTAGGTGGACATGCACAGGGTTCAAAAGTATACTGTAACGTAGAAATTAGTGGTGTAAATGATCCATTTAGCTGCATTTACGCCAGCTATTTTTGTGACAGCACAGTTGCACTGGGAAGTGGGAATTTCCAGGATACAAGCCATAAATTTAAACTGGAATGCCCCATCCAGTGGGAATTCCTTGTCAGAAAGTAGGAKAGTTCAGAATTTAARATGATGGCTGCTCACCATAACTCAACAACACAGAGCAAATCTCTTGCTTTTACTTTTAGTAGTATTTCTGTATTATTTATTCCACATAGCCATACACGTTTCAGTGTTAAAACACTGTTTCTATGYWGAAAATCCCACATCAAGCTCTGCTATTTTTAATTAGCGGTGGTCRGCTGTAGTAATGAAAGGAGGAATGTGATGTTTCCTGTTTAGTCAAAGTTAAATATGAAATGTTGAAATTAATTACAACTGGCCCTTTGAGGACCACCATAATGCTCATGTAGTCCTTGGTGAAAATGAAATTCTGCTGATTTTGTTGTGGTCATCTTGTATTGGTTTGACTTTAAAAGTTATTCTGGTACAAACATACAGTATATAATAAATACTTCCTGAAACCTTCTTTAAATACATTGGGTCATGAGCTATTTTACAAATATCAGACTGCTGTCTTCATGGTGTTSAGCAATAAGAATAATGTTGAACTATTCAGACAACTGTGAGGACTTMAACTTCATGAAACACGTGCCAGCCTGCTCTTTCTCTACAAGATCAATATCAAAGACTTTTATGGTACTTTTAGTCCAGAGAGCCAAGAGTTGCAGAGCAAAGGTGTGACACAGCCTGGTCTCATCACATCACATCAGTCTGCTCAGTCAGCGGTCCATGAAACTGTCGCCATCATCACATCACACCCCCTCCCTTTATTTTTCACAACATCTTACAGTTGAACAAGCATGCTTTGCAATGCACAACTGGAGAGCAATGGTGTATTAGGTACCAAGGGACACCTCAAACTCATACCACCTATTAACCCACAACTACATTTTTAGAACGGCACCATGCTCGTCCAAGCAGAACGAAGCTTTCTTCTGGGAGCAAAGTGTTCAGATGTTGAAAAGAAAAATCTTCTGATTCATTCACTGCACTCAGCTCATTACTAGACAGTCTCTGCCATTTTAATCCACGCTTAAATGCATTTTTGTACTATTTACGAACTACTCAAGCAACTGGAGAGTTTATTTTAAGTAATTATAAATGGTGGGGAAGTTCCTGTAGTCTTTTATACACGGGGATAACAACACCAAAGATGCAAAATAATTAAATATGTAATAATTACAAAAAAAAAATTGCTAAATAATTAACATGGAAAGAATTCTATCACGTAACAACAAGCTTTGCGCTCACCCAAATGCACAGATGTTACAGTTTGTGGAATGTACGGCTAAAATTACAAACATAAAATGAGCAGGTTAAACATTTATCAGAATGAATATATTACAGGAAAAATAAATTTTCCCTGAAGCTTTAATATCATATCCATTTATGT